TCCCCAGCCAGCAAGGCTGGCTGGGGAATTCTGGGAGTTGAAGTCCACACATCTTAAAGTTACTGAGATTGAGAAGCACTGCTCCAGAGGAAAGGGTTGCAAAGAACTTTTGCAGAATTTTGTCTGGAGCAAGAGCTGAGCTAAACGCTAACGGGCTCAGCCACATGGCGTGGCGTTGTAGGGAATCCAGGCCTGATCCTGGCCCTCAAGCCTTTGTGTGTGGAAATGGCCTAGGTCTCAACCTTCGAATGCCAGTTTGTGCAATGGGAAGAAGGATGCGGCCACCTTACAAAGCTGTTGCGTAACAAAAGCGGCATCGATATGCCTTTAAATCTGCATGTTAAAAGGATTGCATATGAGAATTAACCTTAGGGCATTGCTTTTATATGATACTGTAGCACTGAGTGAAGTCTACAAGGAAGTCTGTAGCCTTGAATTTGTTGAAACGCGACAGAGTATAGATTTCTCAATAGATATGTTTGCAGATATGTCCTCTCAAAAGAAACATTCTGTGCAATTTCTTTTTTCCCCCCTTCAACGAATGCATTTTAAATACGTGGCATTAAATACCACACATAGGTCAGAACGTTTCCAGCATCCATGAAACAATTCTGTTTTCCTCTCTGTTTGAATGAGTTGCTACTTTGCTGTTATCAATAAACTTGTTCAGATCACATAAAAACAGGTTTTTCCTCTGATGGATTTGAATGCCCACTTATTTCACTGAATTAAGTTTTCCTTCTTCCTTGTAGGGGTTATATTTATGACGTGAGTCTACCTGATGGTGACTTTTCAAATCAGTGTTGCCGATGTTGCCAACAGAATAAAATAGTTTATTGGAGTCAAGGCTGATTAAAAAAATTGTACACACCCGATGAAATGTGTAATGAAAGCTGCAAATACATTCACAACGGAGCTCAGAGGAAGTTTCCTCTAATAAGTGTTAAAGATAAAAATAATGTAATTTTCCAGATATGTCCGTTTCAGGGGCTGAGGTCACACAAAAAATGTTTAACATGTTTATTTAATTCACCTATGTTCTCAGTTTGCAAAATTTTGTTGTTGTTCAGTCGTTCAGTCGTGTCCGACTCTTTGTGAGCCCATGAGCCACATCGCGCCAGGCCTTCCTGTCCTTCGCTGCCTCCCCGAGTTTGCTCAGTTTCATGCTCGTTGCTTCAGTGATGCTCTCTAACCCTCTCATCCTCTGCCGTCCT